AATCTCTATTATTTATTTCATATCCTAATTTTAATAAACGCTTGTGTATATATTTTGGTGAATAATATTTTGCAAACTGTAACCATGCTTATGACGTTTTAATAATGTTAACAATATAATTTTTACCATATTCACTTAACTTATCTCGTACTTTGTTATAACATAATTGATATCTCAAACGTGTGGATTTTATTACTAAAGCTTTTTATTTAATAGATCAATGGAGCTAACCAAAAAAATAAATATGGCAAATAGGTTAATTTATTAGCTTATCAATTGTCTGATATACAAATTTAGATATCATAGATATCAGCTCGCTATATACTTTATTTTTTCTTATTTCACTTTTTTGTATATTTAGAATAGACTGGATCAAAGTCTTTAGATACATGTTTTTTTTTTGAGGTGCAAGTGAAAATTTTCACATCATCAGATAATTCAATTTCAGAAAAAGCAAAGCTTCGATGCTTCACATCCTCTGAGCTAATACTATGAAATGTATTTACAGATTTATATGTATCTTCTTTGAATATATTTGAAAATTGATTATCAATAATCCTTATCCCACATCGTAACCTGTCCATATCTCTCTTCAGAGCTACAATGAAACCTCTGAGATATTTAAATTCATTTTCTATTGCGAAGCAGGCCATAGGGTGATTCTTCAAATCATGGCTCTTTGAGCCTACTTTTTGTTCCTCATATTTATTAAATTTTTCTGTTATTTTAGATATTATACTAGAAATATTTTTTATCACGATTTATGTAATTATTACCTTTGTCTCCAGAACTAACCGAAAAAATATATATGGCAGATGGGTAAGTCGACTCGTTTTTCTTACATTTGATAAATAAAAAATCTCGGAATAAAATTAATAGAATTAGCACATCGTTTATTGGATTATAATCTTCCTGTTCGGAAAAAGATTGATAAAATAAAATTATCAACAGAGCTGGCATGGCCAAAAGTACTTAATGTATCAATTAATAGAATTGCCGAGGTAGTTACAAATTCCGTCAAATTTCACATATAATTCCTCAATATTCTAATCATCATAAACATCTTCCCAAGAAATTAAATTATCTATAATCTGTTATATGTTATATTTAACAATTTCCTTTTCTTGCCCATAAAGCATTCCATTGGTAAGCATACACCTTTTAATATCTACTTGTTTTTTAGCGGTTTCAAGTAGTTTTGCGTGATATTTAAGTACTATACCATAATCGAAATATCCTTGAAGTTCCTCATTTTTTTCAAGATCTAATTTATGACCTTTTAACACTTGTATCTCCCACCTTTTTTGGAGTTCATATTGAATTTCTTTATACCAAGTTCGATTAATCCAACAAACTATACCTAGGTTCTCTAATGAAAGTTTTTAGACGATTTCAGCGATGGTATCTGAAAGAGTAAGTGGGTTGAATATATGTATGTTATATTCTTCGATAAATTCATCATACTCTTTCTTATTTACCATTGATCCAATATATTGAATATTTATTACTTATGAAAAAAAGTTTAATAAATAAGTTAGTTTCACAAAGTTTGGCTCACTTGATTATCTTATTACTGGTATTGAGGTTTAAGCTTAACTGTTGCTCTTTTTTCTGTTATCTCTAACATCGATGTCATTCATTACATCAGGAAATTTTTCGGGGCGTAAATTTCCGTAACACAGACGGGACCCACGTAAATTTACACCTAAAAATTTAATTTTTTTGACTTTGGTCGCAATTTACGAGACAGGAAGCGATTTTCTACTAAGGTGTTTCTATGACAG